CACAGAGATCAGCCTCTGCCTCTGAGTGCTGGGATTAAAGGTGTACCCTGCCCAGCTCACAGCAACTCTTATAAAGGAAAACATTTCATTGGGGCTGGCTTACAGTTCAGAGGTTTAATCCACTGTCATCATGGCAGGAAGACATGGTCCTGGAGAAGGAACCAAGAGTTCTACATCTGGATCATCAGGCAGCAGGAAGAGAGAGCGACACTGGGCCTGGCTTGAACCCTCAAAGCCCACCCCCAGCCACACACTTCTTCCATCTAGGCCACACCTCTTACAGTGCCACTCCCTAAGAGCCTGTGGGTGTTATTTTCATACAAACCACCACACTGAGGCAGGAGAATTCAAGTTTAAGTTCAGACTGATTGACACAGGGTAAGACAAAAATAAACAAAACAAAACAAACCTCAACATGCAGTAATGTATGCGTGCTCCACAACACACACACATACACACACAATTAATTATTTAAGTTTGAATTGACAACCAGAAAGTAGAGCCTGATTAGAGAAAGTGGGTGGGTCACTGGGGGCATGACCTTTGGGATTTCCCTAGCCCCTTCCTGTTCCTACTCCTCTGCACTTCCTGTCTTCTTCTCTGCATGACTTTCCAACCCTCGTTGGACTGAAGGCTTTGAAACTATCACAAAATAAATAGTTCCTCTCTGTGAACTGTCTTCTCAGGAATTTTGGTTACAGACATACATAACCATCTCTTTTACAGAGGAAGAAGCTGAGTCCAAGTACTTACTCAGTTCATACACTGGTATAAACTGGTTCTACAGAGTCCTTTTTTTTTTTTTTTTTTTTTTTTTTTTTTTTGGTTTGGGGCAAGGTCTCACTATATAGACCTGGATGTCCTGGAACTCACTCTGTAGATCAGGTTGGTCTCAAACTTGTAGAGATCCACCTGTCTCTTCCTCCTGGGTGCTGTCAGTAAAGGTGTGCACCACCAGGCCCAGTGCAGAGTTCATTTTTATGTTTTGCAGAACATTAAGTTACGGGGGACTTAGTACAAATTCAAACAAGCAGCATTCCTTTTGCCTTTGTTTGGAATTTTCCCTTATGTACTCCATACCTAACTTAGTGTACCCTAACCTTTGCAGTGGTTTGAGGGTGGAGTGTCCACCAAAAACTACAGAGAGCAAACACTTCTTCCTGAAGTTGCTTCTCACCAAGGACTTGGGAATGACAAAGGGAGCTTTGAAATATAGCAAAATATAACAAATATAGCAAAATAAAGTTTTGTGCCAGTAAAGCTTTATTTTTACAAACCATAAAAGTAACTGGGTTTCTGCTGTGTACAGTAACAGTTTCTGAATTTATTGAAAGAAAAAAAGTTAAAAGATAAAAATCAGATGACCTGGGCTGGGGATAATCCAGCTCAGAAGTAGCTTACCTAGCATGTTCAAGGCCCTAGGTTCATCACCAGTGCTATAATAAACAAACAAACCTAGTAACACCCATTGAAAGAAAGCTAGGATGATGGTACATTTCATAGGAAGAAGTAGGACCAGAGGAAGGAGATCTTTGTGAATGATAGAAGGACTAATTTGTTGGGGCAGGGTTATAGTTCCACTGTAGAGTCCCTGAGTTTGATCTCAGGGGTGAGGGGTGGGGTTAAGTTATCAAGATGATAAAAGTCATAAATGTTTATTTTCAAATTAAAAAGTTCAGAGTATATGAGGCAAACTGATATAGTCTCGGTCTCCCACTTACGGTTTGAGATGTGAGATCTCAACTGTTTCTGCAGCCACACCTTGGCTCTGCCACCATGGACTCTAACCCCTTGGTCATGGTGTGATATCACAGCCATAGAAAAGTAACTAATTCAGGTGCTGATCCTGCGAGGAACTTGTTTGGGATTGGGGATGATTGGAGACTGGGCCTGAGATAGGGACTGTTTAGTTACACACATCTTTGCCTCCATTCAAACCTAAACCCATGTAAAGATCCTAAGATGGCCGGAGAGCTGTCACCCATGGACTCGGTCTCCTTTTTCTGTGTTGTTTTGTTATCCAAAATGTGTATGTTTGAATATCTTCCTGTTTCCCCTGCAGGAATTCCTGTCAGCTTTGCTTTCCTATCTTCAGCCACACAGAGGATGGCGGAGCAGCCAGCACTCAGGCTAAGTTCCTGCAGGCTGAGCACATGCTGCTAGGACAGCATCCTAGGGACCATGCTCCTCACCAGGTATTCTTGTATGTTCTCTCCTGGAGAGAGAGGGGCAGCCTCCCCACAAGCACATGCTGAAGGGAGGTCACCCCTGCTGGGAAAGTCCCTTATCTGCTTTACACAAGGAAGAAGTAAAGGAGGAGGAGTAGAAAGAGCAAAAGAGAAAGGCCCCACGAGCAGTGGGTAGTCATATGTTAACTATTAGATAAAGAGCAACAACTAAGAAACAGACAACAACAAAGCTGTATCGTAATCAAAGTAGAAGACAATGGTTTAGGTTAAGAACCAGAACTGACAAGCCTCAGAAAATCTCATGTTTACTTAGTGATGATGGGGGCAAACTCAGGGCTTCGTTATGCTGACTGTGTTCTACCAGCTACACTCCCAGGCCAGGAGTTCTCAAATGAGACAAACCCAACAAAAATTGATAAATTGATTGGGAGTTGGAGTCAGGAGAATAAGGAGTTCAAGGCCATCCTCAACTACATGGCTAGTTTGAGGCCAGCCTGGGCTAGGTGACAAAATATAAATTGGGTTCATCTCTCTTCTTGGTGACTCACCTTTGTTATGGCTTGTCTCTGTCTTCTGGCCTAGGCAGCCCCTCCCTCTCCAGCTGTCCTTAGTAGATATCAGCTGTGATGATGACTATGTCTGTTTGGCACACGGCTGGTAAAACCAATATACAGAGCCCAGAACACACCACCCATAGTCTCTCCAGATGCTACAGAGGTGGGAAATTAACCTTGCCAGGTCTCTGGCCCTCTCCTTTTGAGCTCACCTCTGAGCAAGGTGCACGTGAGACTGGTGGCCCTGGCTGTTGTCGTCTGTGTGCAGTGGATGACTCCTCTGTGTTCAGCTGTTTCCTTATGGCCTTGCAGGTCTGGTTCCTCTAGAATAGCTTTCTAGAGATCCTCTGTGTGATAGGGCTCCCTCCTGGGTCCATTTGATTGTTTCATTGGGAATTTGTCTGCAAAATGGAGCAGAGGGAGTTGGAATCTCTACCCAGCACTAAAAGTCCCTTTAAGTCAGATGGACACCAGAATCCACTCTGCCTGGGTTTGGAAGGAAACAGTAAGTATTTCTGATGGACATGGAGGGTGGGGGGTAGTGTGTAGCTGTGTGCTGACCTACTGGAAACATCTAAACACAACACTCCGGGTTCTGGCCAGGTGTGAGGGCACAGACCTGACCTGAGATCCAGCACCTGAGTGAGTATGGTGATGTGAGGCTAGTTTGGGCTGTACACTGAGACTGTTGAACAAACAGTAACAGTACATTTTAATCCAAAGAGTATGGAGCCTGTAGTCCCAGCTTCAGGAGGTAGAAGCAGGAAGATTAGAACTTCAAAGTCATTCTCCGCCACACAGGGAACTCCAGATCAGCCAAGGCCACAGGGGAGCCTGCCTCAAAAGAGTAAAATACAAAAGAGAAGATAGCTGGGTTATCAGGTAAAAGCCCAGCTCCCAAGCCTGCCCCCTCTCCCTCCAGCTCACATGGTGAGAGGAAAGAATAACTCTGTCCTCTGACTTGCACATCACGGCACTCAAACACCCAACATACGTATGCCCGCACCCCCACTGAAAATGCACAAAATAAACAGCACAATCTAAAGGTAAGGTCTCCCTATGTACAGGGGGCTGGTCTCAAACTCACAAAGCTCTGCATGCTCTGTCTCCCAAGCGCTGAGAATAAAGGTGCCTGGCCCAAATAAATGTATTTTAAATTATGTGTACACAGAGAGGGGGGAGGGAGGAGAGAGAGAGAGAGAGGGAGGGGAGGAGAGAGAAGAGAGAGCTCGAAAACAAACTGCCCTTGTAATCTGTGAATCAGTTTAATTCAGTCCCCATTTATTAAGTCTTTGATCTTTTTATTGTGAGAAAAAGGTGTGTTTTGAATTAACCAACTGGAATCAGTTTAGATGGTGCTAATGTGTGTGATGGGGCGGGGGAGGGGGCCCTCACCACCATCCCTGTGTAGAAGACAACTTTCAAGAGTCAGTCCCCTCTTTCCACGGTGTTTGTTCCAGGAATCCAACTCAAAACGCAAGTCCCTTTACCACTGAGTGAACTTGCCATTCCTAACGGAAAAGTTTTAACACTCATCTTCCAAGAGGGCTTCCGAATCCTCTAGCCCAGCAGTGAGGAAGCGTTCCCTTGGCACAGGGAGCTTGTTAGGCTTGTCTTGGTGCTCTTGTCAGGGGTGAAGACCTGAGCCAGTCTCTTCGTCAAGATTAGGGAAGGGAAGGGCTGCTGAGATCTGAAAAAACTGACAGACCCCAGAGTACAGGCTAGGAGGGCCAAGACAGCTGGAGTCCCTGTTGAGGGAAGAGTAAGCGAATCCAGGAACATTTGGGGAATCTGATTTTGGCAGGAGCGTGGTATAACGTTAGAGGGGCTGGCTTGGTCTCAGAGCAGTGAGGGTCAAGAGCACAGGTCCCAGTCGGGCTGTGGGCACCTCCCTGGGGCGGCTGGAGCTCAATTACAACCTGGGGTCGCACAGCGGTAGGGTCCTTGAAAGATGCGGTTGGGGTACAGGTCATTGAGGAGGGAAAGCAGCAACTGGGGCCATTGGTGTGTGTATCTGTCGCTCAAGACCGAGACTGGGAGGGTACCGACCCCTGGTGGCACTGGCGGGAACCGTACCTCGCCGAGCCACAGTGAGCACAGCAGTCTTCGTAAAGCCTCTGTCGTGCAGGAGTCATGGGGAAGGCGAGGGCACCCCTAGGTCTCGCGAGTGCTTTCAGCTTGGGGAGAGAGGCACGCTTTGAACTGGCATCCGCGTACACATCTGGACCGCCCTAACCAGCAGCGGAATCCCACCCGGCCATGTGAATTATAGGGGTGAACCCCCGCGCCTCCGCCTGCAGCTGTCGTTGCCTTATAAGGAGGGGCCGGGTGGTGCCGGGGGAGTGGCTGCCCCTGCCCCTCCCGGCCCCAGCCAGCTGCTGGGACCCGCCACCCAGCTCAGCGCAAGGCAGCCGCCGCTGAGCAGAGGATCGCACACATAGCCGGCCATGGGCAAGTCAGGTGAGCCGCCCGAACGGCCCGCCGGGTGTGGGGATGGCTCTGGGACCCTCGCCGTTACTCTGCGCCGCCTGGGCCCTAGTCCTCTGGGAACCCCTCGGAGGTCTCTGGAGTACTAGCTGCAATGCGTGACCCCTGGGTGGGGATGGAGATTGTGCGCGGAGTAAAGCGCCCAGAGGAGCAGCTGGGGCTGTTTTTGGTTCAACCTTGGAGAGGAGGTAGCAGAAAGACCACCAGGAGGGAGAGAGAGAAAGAAGGGGGATAGCGATGGAGGGTCCCTCTGGCTTTGAGCCAGGAATTGCGTCAGGGAGAGTTTCCAAGCGCTGATGGGGAGCTCTCTGAGTCTCTGAGGCGTGGCTTTGCTTTGTTTCCAGACGAGGACAAAGTTACAGTTGGAAAAAGTCACCAAACTGTGACAGCATCCCTGGCTGTCCGCTCCCACCCCACTAACGGCGGTTCTGAGAACCCGTTTCATTCTCCTGGGGTGCATCTCCTGAGTATTCTCTGTGCCAGGTTGGGTGGTGTGCAGACCAGCTCCCTCTGTGGTCTCTGCCCTGCTGTGGCCCATCCTCACCACTGTGGCTGTAAGGTTGAAATGTCTGAAAACCAGCTCTCCTGTCACTTCCTGCGTGCCAACTTTCACCCCATTGTAAGGCCCTCTGGTCCCTGGCACCAGTCCCTGTGTTAGGCAATAACTCCACTTCACCCTGACTTCTCCCTCCTGGGCAGCAAGGCTTTCTATTTATTGGGACATCATTTCTGCCCCATGAGAGGCTCTAACCCAGTGGTTCTCAACCTGTGAATCTCGACCTTCTGGGATGGAACAGCCCTTCTACAGGGGTTGCCTAAGACCATTGGAAAACACAGATATTTACATTGTGACTCATAAGAGTAGTGAAATTACAGTTGCGAAATACAGCGAAAATAATTTTATGATGGAGGGGGTCACCACAGCATGAGGAACTGTATTAAAGGGTCACAGCATTAGGAAGGTTGAGAACCACTGCCCTAAAGGAACAATGAAGTCAGTGGGCTGTCAGCCTCAGATGAGGAAGGCTGGGTCCCTTCTTGGATCTGCCCTCTAGGGCCTAGACTCAAGAGATGCACAGGAAATGGGCCTCTCCTGCCTGGTCCTAACCTGTGTTCCCTCCAGCTTTAGTGACAGGCCAGGCTCGCCATGCTGGTCCTACTAATCATTTGCTGTATGATATGAAGTAAGGTTTTGTCTTCCTCCGTACCTCAGTTTACCCATCTGTACTAAGATTCAATGCAGTGGAAAATTAGATGTCACATAATTAAAAGAATGAGATGAAAGGTGGTGACAGGACGGATGATGGCAGACATGGCAAGGCCTTTTGACATTTCTACTTGAAAGATGAACTCCTTCCTCTCTAGACTTAAGGGGTGTTCAAGGGATTCTCTAAAGCTACATTTCATTTTGCTAATACTTATTGTTACTATTATTGCTTTAAGATAGGGTCTCACCATGTACTTCCATCTAGCCGGAAACTCAGAGATCCTCTGTGCTTCTGTGGTGCTAAGATTAGAAGCAAACCACCTGCCCCACCTGCAGCCTAGCCCTAAAGATTCACTTTAATTGACTGTTTCCAGCCCCTGCCCTAAAATACCATTTCCTAGAGCTGCACCTGTGTTATCGTCTCCCTCCAGCCGTGTGTCCTCTCCTCCAAGCTGTGGACCCCGTGTGTCCTGGAGGGACAGCCCAATCTTCAGGAATGACCATTTGAGTTGTGAAATGAATAATAGAAGGTGGGGGGGGGACTCAGTAAGTGGTGGGAAATGATCTGCACGTGGGGGAAGGTGGGGAAGGCACAGAGGACAGCCCTCATCTTCCAGGGGCCACCGAAGGAGTCTGAAGAAAGGGATGGATTTTAGAGGGTCTTGGGAGGCTCTGAGTCTTCTTATGGGATGTGGGTGCCACTGAACACGGCAGGCCCAGTGCTGCAGCCGAGGGGAAGATCAGAGGGAGAGCTAGAGGCAGAGAGTGGAGAGCAGCCTCCCTACAGAAAACAATGGTGAAGCTCCTCGGGCGGCTTCCAAAACTGTCTGTTACCCAACACATTGTTATACAACTCCAGGTATGTAGGCATATAAAACAAGTATACAAATCAAATATTTACTGGTAAATAAATCATACAGAAATTTATTTTATTATGTGTGTGTGTTCTGTGTGTGAATGTGTGTACATGTGTATGGTGTGTGTATATGCATGCGTGTGTGAAGGCCAGAGGTAGACAGTGGGCATTGGGCATCATCTTCAATTGCTCTCCTCTTTGTTTTGTTTTTTTTCTTTCGAGACAGGGTTTCTCTGTATTGCTTTGGAGCCTGTCCTGGAACTTGCTCTATAGTCCAGGCTGACCTTGAAGTCATAGAGATCCTCCTGATGGGCTTGTCCTGTATATGTTTCTTTTGTTGGTTGATGAATAAAACACTGTTAGGCCAATGGTAGAGGAAAGGTAGGCAGGAGAGAGTCGCAATGCTGCCAGAGGGGTAACACCATGCTGGGCATTACCGGTAAGCCACGGTCTTGTGGCAACACATAGATTGATAGAAATGAGTTAATTCAGACAGAGCTAGCCAATAAGAAGCCCTAGTTATTGGCTAACATTTCATAGTTAATATAGCATCTGTGTGTTTTTTTGGGGCTCAAGGACCACAGGACCTGCCGAGCCAGAAACATTCACCTTACATCCTCCTGCCTCTGCCTCCCTAGTGCTGGGATTAAAGCTATGCACCACCACCAGGCCTGTTTTGTTGTTTTTAAGCAGGGATGCTGAGAATTCAAACCTAGATCGTCATGCTTGCATGACAATTATTTTACCAAAATGCCATTCCCCCTGCTCTAAGAACTTTATTTTAAAACAGTTCTTTAGGGTTCCACCCACCTCAGCCTCCCGAGTACTGGAACTAAAGACGTGTGTTATCATGCCTCGTTCATCACTGGAATTTCTGTCCTAACTCAAGACAAAAGTCATCCAATGATTTGGGGTTTTTTTGTTTGTTTGTTTTTGTTTTTTTGGGGGGTGGGAGGATTGAACCCAGGGCCTTGCATGTGCCAATCAAGCAAGCACTCTGCCACTGAACTACATCCCTGGCTCTTCAAATGACTAACAACAGCAATTTTTAAAATCAAGCATTCTAGGGCCAACAGAATGGGTCACTGGGTAAAGGTGCTTGCTGCCAAGCTTGAAGACTTGAATTTGACCTCTGTCAGCCTTTGTCAACTTTCACAAGTTGTTTCCTAACCTCTATACATAGACCTGAAAAATAAATAATTACCTATGATAGTCAAAGCTTGGAGTTAAGTTAGTTAGGTTTTTCAAGATACATAGAGATGTATTTGAGATAGATAGGCATTCTTCAAACCTTTCAAAGACCTACAGAATATGGCATTTAAAATGGTTTAGGGTTTTTCTTGACAGTGAGACATAAATGCTTCTGGCAACACCACCTGCGTCAGAAAGGAAGATGGACATTGAAGAAACGCATTATGAAGTTTACTTCCAATATAGCAAGACTAGCCATTTGGACAAGATACTGCTCTTGTCTGGACTGTTTGACTTTATGCTGCAGGACCCACAGAAAAGTGACTGCTCATTCAAGATGGACAGTTTAAAGTTTCCTGCTTTGCTGAGGAGTCTGCTAGACACACTATGGCCTATGGGCTGAAGATAGAACATTACAGAAGAACTTCAGGTGACTGACAAGGCAAGATGTCTCTGTCATTTCTAGAGTTTATATATTATCCTTCTATGGTCTTTGAGGGAGTTGAAGATAAATAGTCATGGTTATAGTTTTCCTTAGTTAGAATTAAAGATAAGTTACATAGACTTTAGACACACAAAGATAGGATAGATGATGAAATATTTTCTTCAAATCTTGCTAAATGTTAATGGACTAAATATTGTTAACTGTGATTCTTACTTGATAAGTATTGTGTTATATATTTTGCTTTGTTGAGGTTAAAACCCTTCTTTTTATTTAGACAGAAAAGAGGAGATGATAGGAGGTGTCATTCTGTAAATATGTTTCTCATACTGGTTAATGAATAAAGCACTGTTGGCCAATAGGAAAGGAAGATAGGCGGGACTAGGAGACAAGGAGGAGAGAGGAAGGAGTAGGGAGGAGTCAACATGGAGAGCCTGGAGAGAGCAGAACCACCCGCCCCCTCTCTCCGTAAGATGAGACCACGTGGAAATACTTAGATTAATAGAAATGGGTTTATAATTAAGACAGAGGAGGAAGGTCAGACTTGCCAATGGCAATCTGAGGCAAACTTGGTAACAACTTGCAAGGAATAAAAGGGAAGGTCAGAGGGTGTCTGCCTGAGAAGTGTCTCTGACATAGGCTTCAGAGGAGAAGAAAAGAGGGAGCTGGTGGCAGAAAGCAGGTTCCCGCTGGTCGCGCCAGGTATGACCCCCATTCACTTGTTAGTTCTCTAGTCCAGGCCTACGTCCTTCATAGGCACACATGTCGGGCTCTTCTAAGTGACCCAGAGAGCAAGTAACTTTTCTGGATGACTTAGACCCTGTGAACCTTCTGCACAAACCCAGCCCTGTAGATCCACGCCACCAATGGGGGCTTCAGGGAGGTGCCCCTCAGCCATACCCATTCACATAGGAGCTCTGTGTGGCTCCCAGAAGACCATCTAAGGAATCAGTCCCCACCTCGTCTGGGCCTCAGTTAGGCCTCATGGAACAGATCTCAGATATACCCTTAGAGCTTCATGGTGGGTGTTGGGAAATCCCATGAAGCCATCATACAACTGCCAAGGCTCAAACCTAGAGGGCTTGAGCCAGTGTTGGAAGCTCTCAATCCTGCCCACAGCCCTGGTCTCCCTACTGGGCTTCTGTGTAACAGGTGAGCTGGGACCTAACACAGCACTAGGCTTTGCTTTGAATAATTGTGATCACCAGTCATTTAGCCTCCTGTTGTATGCAAGGCCATTACTGTCTTCTCCTTATAATGTCTGGACCAAACAAATT